GGCCTAGGCTCTGCCTGTGGGCCCAGGGCCAAACTGTAGCACTGAGGGCCCTGCTCAGAGCTGGGCTGTGGGGCCGGGGCGTGGGGTGCCTGTGGGCACAGCCCCTCCCTGGCTGCAGCTCCGCAGTGTATAAAGTGCGCTGTGTTTAAACGGCTCCTCTGGTAAAACTGCTCTCCCCTGTGCTGGGGGGGCAGAGCCCCTCTCTCAGGTCCCGCCATGGCTTCTGGAGGGCTGTTTGCTCTGGGGTTCATCCATCGAACTGCTGATATCTCCTAAGTGCTGCAGTGCCCTGGGAGCTCCTCCTCAGAGCGTGCAGCTACAGCTTGGTGTTGCCTTGGTGTTGCCTGTTGGAGGCAGTGGATGAAGGGAGCTCCCTCCTCCGTCCCAGGAGCTCCAGGGAAACTCCAGTGAGTCACTGGAACAGTGTCCCTGTCCCTACTCCATGCTCACAGAGGGACAGAGCTCTCTGTCTCCAAGCAGCTTCATGCTGGAGCTGCTCAGGGCACATCTCTGCTGGGAGACCTGGCTTTGGCTGTGCTTGGTGCTGGTTGCTGTCAGGGAGGTGGAGGGGCAATCATGCATTAAGGATGCTGGGGAGGGACTCTTGATTGGGGACTGTAGCAAGAGGACAAGGGGTGATGGGCTTAAAGCGAAGCGGAGGAAGCTCAGGTTAGCTAGAAGGAAGAAATTCTTTCCTGTTAGGGTGGTGAGGCACTGGAATGGGCTGCTCAGGGAGGTTGTGAATGCTCCACCCCTGGTGGTGTTCAAGGCCAGGCTGGACAGAGCCTTGGGTGACCTGGTTTAGTGTGAGGTGTCCCTGCCCATGGCAGGAGGTTAGAACTGGATGATCTTAAGGTCCTTTCCAACCCTAACTGTTCTATGATTCTATGCAGTAAGGAGCCCATCACTGGCAAAAGGCTGTGGAACAAACACAGGGGCTGTTCCCGTCTGTTGTTTGTCCCATCTGGGTGATGGGCAGCAGGTTAGGCCAACTCCATCACTGCTGGAGAATGCCAAGGGATCAGGGTTGGCTTCCGCCCATTCCGTTTGATAACTCCTCCTGAGTAAAGCGTGGAGGAGCTCTGGTACCTTCTCTTTCAGGCTGGATGTGAGGAAGAAATCCTTTACACTGAGGGTGGGGAAGCACTGGCACAGGTTGCCCAGAGAGGTGCTGGATGCCCCATCCCTGGAGACATTCCAGGCCAGGCTGGATGTGGTTCTGGACAACCTGACCTAGATGATGTCCCTGCTCGTTGCAGGGGATTAGAACTGGATGAGCTTTGAAGGTCCCTTCAACCCAAACTATTCTATGACCCTGTTGGACTTCTCTGAAACATTGATGTGAAGGTTGTGGCTCAGTTTCCTGGGCTTCTGGACTGCTTCGTCCTGGTAAAGCACAGAGGAGCTTAAGCTGGAAAACACACAGCAGAATGCGGCTTCATCTTTTATAAGGGATTTATATCAATCTCTGTTGAGCAGCTTTGGTCGCAGAAGTCAGAATGGGCTTCTCTGTATTGAGTCAGACTTATCTCAGAGGTCTTCAGAGATCTTTAGAAAGACAAGTTCAGTCAGTCTTACCCTAAAGTCCACGCCAGAACTTGGTCTGTCACTGCAGGAACAGAAGTGGGAGCTGTAGGGGGATTAGGCTCTTTAGAAGCTTTCTGGCCAGTTCCTGTAACTCTTCCCTCTACTGCCCCATCCGCAGGTGCCTTGAGAAGCAATGGCTACAGCAGCTCTGCTGAACTCAGCACCATCTCAGCTCTGCTTCCCTTCAAGCGCAGCAGCCTCTTCCCTGTGGTCAGACACCACCACCATGCACGTCACCAGGCCAAAATCTGCCAAGGGACGCACCAGGTCCAGCTTCAAGTACTCTCAGAGCACGGAAGCCTGTCCTTGCCTCGTGCCATCTTCACCACCACCACCAGCTCCTCACCAGCTAGTGAGCAGCCGGAGAGCATTGTTCAGGAAACCAGCATTCCCATCCAGCCCGGTGTGTCCCAAGGAGATCCCAGAGCTCCTGCAGCACGTGCCTTTGAGGACCTCCTCTTCCCTGAACAAGTACAGGGTGCTCCCCTCCATCGGCTTCAAGGGCACAGGGAGCAGCACTGTGGAAGCAGTGGCTGAACAGATCAACCGGCTGAAGGTGAGCGGGAAGCGGGAGGACATCCCAAAAGGCAACACTCTTTCTGGAAAGCAAGAATCTGCCAGCATGTCATTGGAGAGCTCACACAAGCAATGTCCTCCTGAGAAGCCAGGATGCAAAATGAGCCCTTCGGCATCAACTTTGGGAGGTTTGGAAGAGCTGCCGAAGGAAGAGTCGCGCTTGCTGCTTGCTGTTCGCTCGCCCTCTGGGCAGAGGTTTGAACATCATTTCCAGCCCACTGACAGTCTCCAGACGGTCCTTGCCATGGCAGAGCAGAAAACATCAGCCAAATACAAGCATTGCAGTGTTGAAACGATGGAGGTGCCCTGCAGGAGTTTCTCTGACCTGACGAGGTCTCTCCATGAATGTGGGATCCTGCACAAGTCCGTGCTGTGCATCCGACAGAAGGAGCAGCACGATGCTGATCTTTAGGGTCCTTCTGCTGGGTGGGATGCAGCACTTCATCTGACAAATAAGAGTTTGATGTTTCCTGGGCCTACTTCTTCATCTTGTCACCTTCCAAACCCTCCCTGTGAAGCAGACTTGTGTATATGTCTTGAGATGTTGTTTGAGGTGTATGTACCTGCTACGTCAACAGCACTTTTCTTCACGTGTGCCATCACAAATTGCTTTCTGAGCATCACCACCTTTGTTCGTTTGAAGTTGCTGATGTTTTCAAGAGTTTCCCATTTGTTCTCTCCTGTATTTCAGGGAGGTACCACTTCCCACAGTGGATCCAGATGCAAAGCACCTATTTGGGAAGGTAGAAAAGGAACTGGTTTACTTTGGAGGACCATTTAGGTTATCCTCAGCATTTTGAGAGTGACTGAGATGGAGCTCAAACACCCAAACCCTCCAGAAATAACAGTAACTGCTAATGGATGATGGTGAAGTATTCAGTGACATGACTGATGGTGATACACTTGGGAGGGCTCTGCCTCTTCTGAGTGACTTCAGACTTTTAGGAGCGTGACTACATCATCCTCTTCAGAACAAACAGTTGTTATTTTGGCTGTGTTGGCAAGCACCTGGGTTTTCCACTTAAGTTTTCCTTCTCTCCTCCAACTCGTGTGATCTATAGGTAAGAATAGATGCGTAGTTACGGTGGGATGTTACAACATACTTTTTTAGACCCTTTACACTGAAATGAGTTAGTCCAAGAAAGCAAGTGCTGCTTTGGCATTTGCCTGAGGACTTACTTGCCTCATGCAGCAGAGCAGGTTTCACCAAACCATCATTAAATAAAGCCTCACAGGGTGACTTTGGGAGGTTTTAGATCAATACAACATGCTTGTGCTAAATAAACCAGATCTTTTAGGTTTCTAACACAAATTCTTATGGTTCAGATAATTCCATCTACTAGAAAAAAGGCTCATGTGCCACACAAATGAGCTGATTTTAATGTTTTGAGGTAAACCCAGCTGGTTTTTAACCACAGTGCCAAACCCATTCAGAGCAGTAGAACCAGAGCAGTGGCAGAATGCTCATGCTGGCATTGACCGAGAGCATCTTGTTCTAAAGCAAGTGTCCAGCAGCTCTCTGCAAGTGGTACCTGGTGAAATGGTGTTACTTGCTGCCACAGGTGACTGTGCAGCAGCAATCTTGGTGTCTTCAGGGGGAGACCAGGACTGAAACGTCCAGATCCTTTTAGTCAAACCTCAGTGGGGAGCGAAGGATTTCACTGTGGTACAGGAACCGTTTTGTGTCTCATTCAGTGCTAGGTGATTAACTCCCTTCTTCTGGTCTTGTGTGTGTTACTGCTGCATTTCAGAGTGTTTTCATGCTGTGCGATAGTGCAATTAATAAAACCTTTTAGGCCGAAGCTTGGATGTTAAATGATTTATGTGAACTGGAGGTGGAGCCATTGCATCTCCTGGGACACAAGAAACTGTTAATTTGATAGCAGATACCTCAGGGAATATCCAACCGGGACTTTGCCTTCAGCACCTTGCATATGCCTTCCTGGAGCTCCTCTCTCCATCCTGTATCAAGTATAGGATGGCAGGAGAGGAAGTGCTAACAGCCAGGGATACAGTGACCACCACATAGGTTTGAGAGGGCACAGGGGCTGATGCTTTAACCAAGGATAGAAGAGGAAAGAGCAACTTGGATTGCAGGGGACAGCACTTCTCAAGCTGCAGGATATTTACTCCTCCTGAATATTAAGATAAAAGTTAAATTAAGTTAAAAAAATATCCATGTTAAGATAAAACTGAATGAGTTTGGTCCTCAAACTCACCCAGGCTCCAGCATCTCCAAAGATGGGCATATTAGTTATTTCCTTTTCTTAAATCGCATGAAGTCTTATCTTGGCTAGTGCAAGGGAAAACACCTTGTCTCCTCCAGTTCCCCTTCTCTTCCCTTCAGAAGTCTTCCAGGGATGGATGCAGGGGAGATCTCAGTAGCAAGTCTGGCCCAAGAAGCACCAGGGAGGGAAGAACAGCAGTTATCTGACCCCATTTATGGTGTGGAATCATAGAGTAAGCTCTTAGGAATCTCAATCAGGTGAAGTTTACCCCATCACAGGGGTGCTTTGAGAAGGTCATCAAGAGAAAACTCTGGATTCATGGTTGTGAATGGCCTTAATTAAGGCTTTAAACCAACAAAGCATTGAAGCAAGAAGAGCCATTGCTCAGTTAATGTTCTTTATTCCAATTCAAAGTACATTAGAAACAGCACACAGGACCAGCAGCAGCTTTCCTGCCAACTCAACCCCATCCTCTGCTGTCACCAGGTCATTCAGCTGTACTATTAAAGTAGGTGATTGCAACAAGTCTTCCACTCGCCACGCACTCACTCACCGGCCACATTAAATAGGTTTCCAACAGAATAAAAATAGATACACCCCAGAATACAAAAAGTTTAATTTTAAGTTGTTTTTTTTTTTCTTTTTTTTTTTTCACTAAAGCCTTTATACAAATCGATAAAAGGGTGCACGAGTTCCTAAAATTTTAGGTACATTTTTAAATGAGCCTTTTTTTTTTACTTGGTAAAAGGATCCATGTTCCTGTCTTTGAACAGAATAGGATGGCCAAAATTGCAAAGAAACAAAAGTCCTAGGTAAATTTACAATTTATACATTGGTTCTGGAAGTGATTCCTGCACCAAGCACATCCCATTTTCCCCCCAAAAGAAGAGCTGTGCACCCTAAGTTCTAGTTCAGGAGCCTCCTTCTCCCTGGAAACCACGCAAGAATGGTCCCAACCGAGCCAAGAGCCCGAGCATGGAAGTTGGATGTCATTCCTTCTCCAGCAGGGACGCCCGGGATAAGGGACTGCACTAGGAGCACAGTGGAAGCAGAGCACTTCCCAGCTGGGGTTTGGCTGAGCCACTGAACTCTAAACTCTGGGACTGGAACAAGGGAAATGTGGTGGTCTAAAAGGGTTGGGTTTGGTCAATCCAAGCTAGCATGATTGATTGATTGATTGATTGCTACCCCTGTGGGTGCAGCCCAGCAGTTCTGTCCATTATTCATGCTGGGCTCCACAGCAGCATCTCAGAACCTGCCTGAAGGTGACTGATCCCCAGTCCAACTATTATTAGCATCGCATGGAGGTGAATCTCGTGATCACATTCATCAGTACAGTTCCTTTCACACTATCCCTCCCCATCCACCTACTCCTTGGCGAGGTCAAAGGCTTCAGGTAAACCTCTCAAGGAGACACTTGAGCTCCATCCCCACCGGACAGTGGCCACTCAAACAACTCAAGGATAAACTCAATGAAAATGCTGCCCAGCAGAAACAACACGGCACCTGTGTTTGCAAGAATGAGCTACTGGAGACATCCTTAGGACAATTTACGTAAGGAAAAGCAGGGCAAATCCATCAGGAAGCTAGAAATGAGGCTTAAAGAGCTCAGGGGAGCGCCAAAGAGAATGACATCCTATTTTGTACAAGTTGAGTATTTCACCCAAAGACAGCTGCCTTGTTTGGGGTTATTTGTGGGTTCTCATTTCTTTCCTTCTGTCCATTATCTATTCAGCTGTTGGATTTTAACTGATCAGGTTAACGCTGAACATGAATTCCCATTCGAGGCAATAAAGTTTTTCTATTCATCTTCAATTTGCTTTAGATAATTTGCTATTGCCCAGGTTTTGGCAAGTGTATTTCTTAGAATTCTAAAGATCTTCCCGTTTTAAGGCTAAACTAAGAAATGTTAAAAGCTTCTGTAAACATTTCCTCTTCCTCCCTACAAGTTGCACAATTTGAAGTCCAACTGCAATTTAAAATGAGGTAATTTTTGTATACTCAGATCTTAGAGAGTCCTTTTTGGGACTAGCTGAGGTGTGCCAATCCAAACGCTGATCCAATTGGAGTGGGAGAGCTTCCACAGCAGGGAACGCACCGGCTCCAGCAGCTGTGCTTCAGTTAGTGATCTTCTCAATCTCATCCAAGTCATCAGTATCCAATTTGCTGATCTTTTTGTCTAGAAAAATCAAAAAGAATCTTATCAGGGTTTGTAACACAGAGAAGGGAAAGCTGCTTCCTTCAGCTGGGCTCAGGGAGATAAGGTTTGTCTTTGGAGAAGAGAAGCTGTGTGGAGACCTCAGAGCAGCTTCCAGTGCCTGAAGGGGGCTAAAAGGATGCTGGAGAGGGGCTCTTCATTAGGGACTGTAGCGATAGGACAAGGGGTGATGGGTTCAGACTGAAACAGGGGAAGTTCAGGTTGGAGATAAGGCAGAAGCTCTTCCCTGTGAGGGTGCTGAGGCGCTGGCACAGGGTGCCCAGAGAAGCTGTGGCTGCCCCATCCCTGGCAGTGTTCAAGGGCAGGTTGGACACAGGGGCTTGGAGCAAGCTGCTCTAGCGGAAGGTGTCTCTGCCCGTGGCAGGGGTTGGAGCTGGAGGAGCTTTAAGGTTCCTTTCAACACAAACCACTCTCAGATTCTATGACTGCACAAAATACAGCTGATGTGTGGTTAAAGGCTCAACAAACCCATTAGATCTGCTCAGAACACAGCTAGTCAAAACCCTTAGAGAAAGAAGAAAGTCTGAGGGTACGTACTGAAATGCTCCTGGATTCTGTTGAGAATGTTCATGCTGTGCTTGCTGTCTACCATGTTAATAGCCAGTCCTCGCTTCCCAAAGCGACCCGTACGTCCGATCCGGTGCAGATACGTCTCATTGTCTGGATTTCCATCTTTATCCACAGGAAGGTCAAAATTGATAACAACAGAGACCTGCTCCACATCGATCCCTGAGAAACAGAAAGCATCCAATGACACAACGTTTAAACCACCTCAGAGCAGAAGCAGCTGCCTCTGGCCTGACTGATGGGCAGTTTGCTCACCATACCCATGTTACCCAACAGCACAAATGGACAGGACAAGGGGTGATGGGTTCAAACAAACAGGGGAAGTTCAGGTTGGAGATAAGGCAGAAGCTCTTCCCTGTGAGGGTGCTGAGGCGCTGGCACAGGGTGCCCAGAGAAGCTGTGGCTGCCCCATCCCTGGCAGTGTTCAAGGCCAGGTCTCTGTATTTTAGCACATGGTTAAAGACCGAGGCTCAGCAGTTCCAAGCAGGCTCCTCACAGGATGGACTTTCTCATCTCAAGCTGCAGGAATCCTACAAGGAATCCTGTGTTTGCCCAACATCATCTTTATACGCACAGCCCTGGTCAGCAGGAATGACTTTAAGGGCCCCAATTTGTCCAGACTGGGACACTCAAGGATGCAAATTCTTTCCAGAAGCTTATCTGTTATGTCAGGTACTGCTGCTTCAGCCCAGCCCGGCTCTGCTATGCCCTACCTCTGGCACAGACGTTTGTGGTCACCAGCACCTTCTCTTTGCCCTCTCGGAAGCGCTCTATAACCGCGGCTCTCTGCTCCACCATCATCTCCCCGCTGAGCAGTGCCACCTGATGGCCTTCCTTGGAGAGCTCTGCTGCCAGCCACCCGGCTGTCTTCCGAGTCTGAAACAAAAAGTGAGGTTTGTGAGCACCAAGCACCAGCAGACACTGCCGGGATCATTGGGACATTCCCAGAAAGGACTCACATGGCAGAAGATCATGGCCTGGGCAATGGTGATTGCGCCATAGATGTTACAGAGAGCCTGGAACTTCTCATCTCTGTTACTGCACAGAACATAGTACTGCTTAATAGTGTCCAGAGTCTCCTCCTCTCGCTTCAGTTTGATGATGTTTGGGTCAGGAACAACTTTCTGAGCAAACTTCCACACGGAATCCTCAAAGGTGGCTGAGAACAGCAGCATCTGGCAGTCCCTGGGGAGCATTCTGCAACAGAGAGCAAAATGGGCAGGGTTCCCCTGCAACACTTCACCCCCCCTGATCTCCTGATAGGATTAAAGCCATGAGCAAAGCAGAACAATAACCTCAGCAGAGTTATTCCAGTGGCTGGAAGGGCTAACACTAATCTTACCAACACCTCATCGCTCCCTCACGGACCAGTGGCATCCAGACTTGCCTTCTTACCAATGAATAAACCCTGCTCCAGGGACAGGCTTTTTAATTCTGTAAGAAAATGAAACTGCTTGTCACCCCCTGACACTGCCTCTATTAACCAGCTGGATTAGAGCTAAATATATCAGTTTAATCTTGTTGCTTCATCAGTGAAGACACCACTCAAGACTCTAACCCTGCTGTCCCTTGTGTTACAGAAGAGCTGTAATTAAAGGAACCAGTATCACCTTGGGCAAGGCACAGCCAGTCCTTACCTCTGAATGCGGATGCTCTGGTCCTGATGGCCCTGTGTTGCTATCATCACATCAGCCTCATCCAACACAAACACTTTGATTTTCTTGGGATCTATGAATTTGAGCTTGGAACACCAGTCCAGCACAGTGCCGGGAGTGCCGATCACAATCTGCTCTGAGATCTTCTGACCTCTCTCCACTGTTGGGATAGACAGAACAGCTTTTGTAAGACAAGCTGCACAGTGGAATGCTCTGCCCCTCCCTCAACCAGCCTCAACTGCTCCACTGTTGGTTTAATGTATTGCACCCAAAGAACATTGTAGTCTCATTTCCAATTCTGTACTCACACTTATTGCCTCACTCACTCTGCATCACTGTACTCACACTTATTGCCTCGGACAGCATAGGCAAGTTTCAGCTCTGGATAAAACTTCCCCATCTGCTCAATCACTTTTCCTGTCTGCAGTGCCAGCTCGTACGTTGGGGAAAGGCACAAACACTGGTGGGACAGAGGGATAACATGTTTGAGATGATCAACACCACAGACAATGCTATCACACTTGCTTATGATACCCCCTATTTATCTCCTCACAGATCACCCTGCGTGATGCAAGGCAATGACTAACAGGAACAAGTTGTGAGCAAAATCCACACAGTTTGCATTAAGGGTGCTTTGCTAAGATCTCCAGAACCCCATTCCCTGCTAAGCAACAGATCACAGAGACAGGCTCATCAAACTGTGAATTCACTATCAAAGGTCTCAAGAGAAGCCCAGCTTCTTCACTAGGTGGCCTTTCACCACCACAAGCCCCTGAAACACTCACATCCCAGAAGATTTACCTGTGGATACTTGTTCCCAGGCTCCACACGACTGAGCATGGCCAGGACAAAGGCAGCCGTCTTGCCAGTGCCGGACTGAGACTGTGCAATCAGGTTCTGTGGGCTGCAGAACACACAGCAACAGGAGCTCAACGAGAGGAACCACCCAGACACGTACTCACAGGGTTGAAGGACACCAAAACCCCAGCGAGTGGCACTGTAATGCCTTTAAGAGCTACCACTGCTGTGCAATGGTGCTACCTTTGCCAGCTACACTCCACAGGGCACAGAAGGTGGTTTCTGGCCTTTACCCACACTTTTATGGAGCTTTGGAAGGAAAACCTGTCAGTACTTTTCCATTTCACACATCTCCCCCTAGTGTCTTCCCACTGAATGCATTTCAGCTCAGGGCACAGCAAGCAAATCCACAACGCACCTCAACTGCACCCAGGATTGCTGTATCTCCATGAGTTTCTACCCTACACCAAGTAGGAAAACTGGACTGACCTCAGCCAAGCACTATGGCATTGTGTTCAGTACCAGCCCCAGGAAAGGGGCAAATCCAGGGTGCCACAGAAACACCATGGCACTGGAAAGCTTTCACCACAGCCCAGACAGCTTCCCCACCTTCACCCTCCCATCCAGAGCTCAGTAACAGCACAATGCATCTTTCAAATCCTTCCTGCACTGGAGGGGAGTACAGGATGTGTACATACGGCTCAGCAAGCATCATGGGCAGCGCATTCTCCTGTATCTTAGATGGTCTGTTGAAGCCCATGGCATAGACTCCTTGCAGGAGCTGTGGTTTCCTGAAAACAGAGATTTATACTGTCAGAGAGCAGCCCTGAGGAGAAGGACTTGTGACAAGTGACATCCATCAGTGTGTACTCCAGCCCAGAACCCCCCCATGTGCTGGGCTGCACCCCCAGAGCTTGAGCAGCAGCTCAGGGAGGGGATGCTGCCCCTCTGCTGCGCTCAGGGGAGACCCCCCCCGCAGCCCTGATCCAGCTCTGGGGCAGCAGCATCAGAGGGACGTGGAGCTGCTGGAGCGAGGCCAGAGGAGGCCATGGAGATGCTGCGAGGGCTGGAGCAGCTCTGCTCTGGAGCCAGGCTGAGAGAGCTGGGCTGGGGCAGCCTGGAGAAGACTCCTGAAGGGGAGACCTTAGAGCAGCTCCAGTGCCTGAAGGGGCTGCAGGAAACCTGGAGAGGGGCTTGGGACAAGGGATGTAGGGACAGGCCAAGGGGAATGGCTTTAACCTGCCAGAGGGGAGACTGAGATGAGCTCTTAGGCAAAAGCTCTTCCCTGTGAGGGTGCTGAGGCGCTGGCACAGGGTGCCCAGAGAAGCTGTGGCTGCCCCATCCCTGGCAGTGTTCAAGGCCAGGTTGGACACAGGGGCTTGGAGCAAGCTGCTCTAGTGGAAGGTGTTCCTGCCCGTGGCAGGGGCTGGAGCTGGGTGAGCTTTAAGGCTGCTTCCAACACAAACCACTCTGGGATTCTGTGATGTATGGAAGGACACTTGAGTTTCATTTGTGTACAAAAAGTTAAGGGAAAACCCCCTTAGAACCACACTCGGAGCTGCCGCTACAATCGCAGCAGTGAAGTCTCTGCCCAGACACAAGAAGTGACAGCAGGAGGTCTGGAGAGGTTTGCAAATCCCCTCTTTACTCAGTGATGCTGCACGCCTGCCTTCCACAGCTACGTGGATAACCTTGTGTCAGAGCTCTAAGGCTGCTACTTGTTCTTGTGCCTGCTCCTTGTTCTAAAGCAGCTTTCCCAACAACCCAGGAATCCCAGAGCAGAAAGCATTAATCCTCTCCTTTAGGTCAATCCCTTTTTCTCAGCTACACCTCATTTTAACACCAAAATTCCCACTCCTTGAAGACTCAAATATGGGGCAAAGCAACCTCAGCATACAAGGAACAGAATGAAGTGGAACATCATGAAAGCATTGTGAGGACTTCAGGAAGCTGTGATGGATTCTGCAATACAAACTGTCACCTAAGAGCAGGGTGACACTGGCTTAGTGCACAAAACTGGCAACTGATAATCAGTTTAGCTCACTGTGACTTCACCCAGTGATCTGTGGCTTATCCCAGCACTCAAACCTAAGGCTGTGGTGGCACTGCTCATCATCAGGTGCTCATCAATTGCTTTCTGGCCTCAGCAGGCGCTTGTATAGACAAGGAGATCCAAGAATAGCCTAAAATTCAGGTTCCAGTGCTAGTGAGCCCTCAGCTCAGAGTTCACTGGAGTGCTGCAGTGGTGCTCAGAAGCAAGGGCTTTCCTTTCAAAGCAGGTTACAGGTTTCCTGCCCAGCACTGCCTGCTACTTAGAACTTCCCATTCAGCCCAACATGCTTTTAAAATCTCCCATATTCCTTTCAGATGATGGCTGAACAAAAGCTCTTTGAAAACGTAACCCTGTGCTGCTCAAAAGCAAAGACACACAAAGCCCAACTCTGCAACAGTTGCCAAGGATACACCAAGCCCTGACAAAATGAAGCCTCAATTAGTCTGGCTGGGCCCATCATTAACTCCCTTGGATTATTTGGCTTCTGGAAGATGGGAATTAGGCTAACAGGCTGCTCAGGAGCTCAGGTTTTCTTTGTGTAGACATTCAACCACTCACATTAACAAAGCAAAATGACATCCTGACGTTTCCCAGTGAAGCCTCATGGGCTCCCACTTCCCTGTGGAGCTTACAAAAGAGCAACAAACCTAAGATCATCAATATAAGCAACAGGACAGCCTCTTTGTCATGTTATGTCTTAAATACAGCTACCACTGCTCTCCAATCCTCACTGGAAAAGGTATTCAACAGGGAGTAGTTTTTCCAGTACATAAATCCGATATCACTGGCAGAGAAAGATAAGCTTTTCCCTTTGCGCTATTCATTGCTGCTGTGGGACCTTCACAAACAACCAACGAAGAACAGGAACAGAAGATGGTCGTGTTCATTCCTTCCATAAATAAAACAAAGATCATGTATCCCAAAACACTGCTGTACTGCTGGAACACCTCCCTCCGGTGCTCCCATATTTGCAGGAGCAAAATGATGGTGCCTCCAGCACAGAAAGGGTCTCTTTGCAATTCACACACCTTGGTGGGACAGCCTTCCCTCCTCTCCTCACCTGAGCTCTGTGGTGCATTTGACCAAAACCCACATGTTAAAACTCAGAGTAGGGCTGCTAGAGCTGATGCTAAAAAGCAGTGCTGGCAGGAATTAAAACGAGCTTGTTTTGATGGAAGCCTTCACAAGGCACCAGGATGAAATCATTCTCCTTGTTTTTAAATCATCAATTTAGTAGGGACAGGACAAAGGGAATGGCTTTAACCTGACAGAGGGGAGACTGAGATGAGCTCTTGGGCACAAGCTCTTCCCTGTGAGGGTGCTGAGGCGCTGGCACAGGGTGCCCAGAGAAGCTGTGGCTGCCCCATCCCTGGCAGTGTTCAAGGCCAGGTTGGACACAGGGACAACCTGATCTAGTGGAAGGTGTCCCTGCCTGTGGCAGGGGGTTGGGACTGGATCAGCTTTAAAGGTCCCTTTCAACCCAAACCATTCCATGATTCTGTGATTCCATACCAATAAATGATATGCTAATTTATGAATGATAAATGTGCAGTAACTTGAAGCAGAAAGGCTATCTCCTACCCAGCCAGGGAACGTCTCAGGACACAAGGAGAGGCTCCAGCTCCAAATTCCCATCTGCTCTTGCAACCTCACCACGAGTGAGTCAGTGCAGCTTTCCCTGAGCTCAAGAGCAAGGCTTCCCACGACTGAGTGGGCCAAACAATACACTGCAAACCCCAGTCACGAGGGAGCCTGCTTCATGTTTCTGCTCCCAGGTTCAACAGCTCAATGCAAAGAAGCCTCTGGCTCAGCCCAGCATGACCCCTCCAGCAGCTCTGAAGCAACCAGCACTTACAGTCGCAGCTCCTCAAAAGACTTCACGGAGTAGAGAGGGGATGTGGGGTCCCTCTGCAGCACCTCCACCTGGTTTGTGGTGTCAACCAGGTTACTGCGGATCAGCTTGTTCAGCAAGGACTGGGCAGCTCTGTCCTCTAGGGAGACAGCAGGGAGAAGAAAGAGAACTCAGTCCCAGCCTGCTCCACTGGGCTCTAACTGGCGTTACTGAGCCATCTAAAAAGGACAAGGTGGATCCAAACACTGACCTTCTTCATTACAGAGCAATGGCATAAGCAAACCTGAGTGAGAAATCTACCACAATATCACAGATTCCCATTTAATAGCCAGGAAGACAAGCAAAAGTGAGCACTGGTTTAAGGGGGAGCTTAACAGATACAGAACACAAGCTCCCTGAACACAGAACTTAAGCTATGATATGCTCAGGGTCTAACTGGAAGGCAGGACAGGGTCTGAAGCCTCACAAAGCCTCACTATTATCCAGCATGTGGGCAGACAGACACCTTTTAGGGCTCCTTTTTTTTTCCTTTTTAAAGGAAGTTGGAGGACAAACTGGACTTTGAAAGATGCCCAGGCTGAAATGCAGCAAGGGCTGAGGATAAACGAGCACAAAGCAGAAGGTTAAACTGCTGCACTTTAGGGTTCTGCTAATAAAGCTGTCTTCTGCTATCCCTTTATTCCTCTCCACTCTAATCCAGGAGGCTCCCAAGTTATTACAGGACCCAGTGGCCTTAAAAGCATTATGGAGGAAGGACCTGTCTTACAATTAAGTCCCTGGGGCAGGATACGAGCTCAGCCATCCCAAGACATAAGGCAGACTTACTTTAAGTACATACAAAATCCATTTCCTTCCAACATTCCTTGCCAAAGGATTTTCCAAGGCACCACTTACCCTTCTCCTCATCCTCTGTCTTCTCAATGTTGTCATCCGCCTTGACAACAGCACCTAAAGTCAAACAGGTTTGGGGTAGATGTGAGCTCAGGCCTCAGCAACTGCCCACCCCGAGGAGTTTTAGGGTTCCAAGACTGTGGGACAAGCTACAGAAGGGCTCATTTCCCTGATGGGAACAGCTCTGCTCTGTCCGGGTGTGGAAGAAACCCAAGGTATCGCTTGTTCCATGCAGCCAAACTGCTCTTTATCAACCACACAACAGAGTCTGCTGTTGAATACAGCAAACCAGCATTTAACAGGTTAGCCCAGCAGAACCAGCATGTGAGGCTTTTAATCTCAGCTTTATATTTCCCCTTTCCAGAATTCCTTAACTAATTAGGAATTTGGCAATGGAAGAACACCGTCCCCTTCCTGGCACCATTCCAGTCGCTGTCACTCACCATTGGCATCTGGTTTGGATTTTTCCTCCTTCAGGTGTAAACTGCTCAACTACAGACAAGGAAAAACACAACATCAGAGCTGTCCTGGCTTTGGACAAGGGGTGTAGGGACAGGCCAAGGGGAATGGCTTTAACCTGCCCGAGGGGAGACTGACATGAGCTCTTAGGCACAAGTCCTTCCCTGTGAGCTCTCCTCCAGGACCCACCACCAGCTAAAAGCACAGCACAGCGCCCACCAAACCCCTGTGCTGGGAGGGAAATGGGATGAGGTCCCTGCGGTGAGCTTCACCCCGTGAGCTTGAACAGAAACACAGCTTTCTCTAGGCTGTAACACGGGGAAGGGGGTTGTTTCCTGCCCCTGCACCTCCACTCCCCCCCCCCCCCAGCTCCGCTGGTGGCTGGAACCGGAGCCAAGCACGGCCCCAGCAGCCGGACACGGCCCCGCTCCCCCAGGGCTGCTTCCACCGCCCAAAACGTGCTGGGGAAAGCAGCCGCGGGGCCCAACCACCACCGGGGGCACGAACTACGGCTCCCCAGCCCTCAAGTGCAGCGCGGGGGGAGAGAAAACCCCAAGCCCACAGAAATACCGCCCTCATCAGAAGCAAGCGGAGGAAAGAAAGGGGATGTGGGGGCTCCAGGCAGGCAGCCCGCAGGGGGGAAGAGCAGCAACGGGGCTGCGGGGCCTCGAGAAACGAAAGGGGTTCGGAAGGGGGAGGAGAATAAAAGGGGTTTTGCTGCTCCCGAAGCAGGGCGAGGGCGCGGGCCCGGGGCGGTGCTGCCGCAGGGCCCCGCGGCTGCGGCACGAACAAACCGGGACGGGAACGGGGGCTGCTCCAGCGCCGGGCCCCGGCCGCACTCACCGACTCGGCCGCCGCCTCCTGCTCGTCCACGGCCAGGGCCCAGGAGTCGGTGGCCATGTCCGGGCCGCGCCTGGCACCGGGCTCGCCCTGAGCAGCCGCAATGGCGCCGGGAAGGGGAGAGCGCCTGCGCCGCCCCCGGCCCCGCCCTCACAGCCCCGGGCCCGGCCCCGCAACCGCGCTGTGAGCGCCGCGTTCCGGGAGCGCCGCGTTCCGGGGGGCAGGAACAAGCGATGGGGGGCGATAGGAATGGATGGGAGGGGTAGCAATGGGTTGGGGGGGGGGCAGGAAGGGATGAGGGTAGGGATGGGGGGGGGAATGGATGAAAGGGGGCAGAAAAAGATTGGGGGTCAAAGTAATTGGGGGGCAGGAAGGGATGAGGGTAGGGATGGGGGGGAATGGATGAAAGGGGGCAGAAAAAGATTGGGGGTCAAAGTAATTGGGGGGCAGGAAGGGATGAGGGTAGGGATGGGGGGGAATGGATGAAAGGGGGCAGAAAAAGATTGGGGGTCAAAGTAATTGGGGGGCAGGAAGGGATGAGGGTAGGGATGGGGGGGGAATGGATGAAAGGGGGCAGAAAAAGATTGGGGGTAAAAGTTATTGGGGGGCAGGAAGGGATGAGGGTAGGGATTGGGGGGGGGAATGGATGAAAGGGGGCGGAAAAAGATTGGGGGTCAAAGTAACTGGGGGGCAGGAAGGGATGAGGGTAGGGATGGGGGGGAATGGATGAAAGGGGGCAGAAAAAGATTGGGGGTCAAAGTAACTGGGGGGCAGGAATGGGTTGGGGGTGTGGAGGAGGAGGGTCGGGAATGGATGGATGGGGGGGGGGGTGTGATAAACACATAAAGGTATTGGGCTTTGTGAGTCGTAGGTGTGGTTGTGTGGGTATAACTAGGAGCTGACAGCAACAAAACTGGCTAAAGACAAGGCTAGACAGCAAGTTAAAAACCTTCAGATCTCTTGATCGAAATGGAATCACAGAGCAAAAAGGTAAAAGGGGGGGGGTGATATAAGGAAAGCCTGGAAAACCAGAGTTAAAGTACTTTTTAGCTTAACAGGTTGTAGAAAGAGAACAATGTTTATGTTGTAAGTCTGTGGGATGTAGTAGCCCTGCTAAACATGAGTTAGTTTCACACCAGTCTTCTAAAGTATCTTTAGTTTTAAAGAGCGATGTTTGTGTTGTCTGTGGTGAGATAACAGGCTTTAGTGGCCCCACTAAACATGAATGAGTTATTTCACACCATCCTTCTCATTATCAGTTGGTTTAGAGGCAGAGCCTCCCAAGGCTCTGCTAGCTTGGGATACTCCTTGTCTGCCCATCCTGCAACACATTTTGCAGGCAGGTCACACTGCTTTAAATCTTTGCTAGTTCTCAGAATAATTACAGATATAGCTGGTTGTGTGGTTGCTGGGGGGCCCAACTGTGCCAGAGGTGAAAAGTACACCGTGAGGAAGACTGCTTACTTCATCCTCAGGCCCCCTGCTCACAATCACCACAGAGCAGTGCGCAGGCGCCAAGAGGAGGAGACTTGTGATAATAAATTCTTGAAGCTCGTTATAATATCCCCACCTGTACATGGGAATTATGAATATGCATGTAACTGATGTAATACTGAAAGTATATAAACCTGTACCAAATGCTAATCCCTTGCGCCTCTGGCTGCGGTCAGGCGCCCAGCGCTGTTGCTTTTGCTTTCTTGCCTTTGTCCCTCACTAAACCCTTGTTACCTCGTTTAGAGGAGTGAGTTCCTATTTCACAGGCTGCTGTCACCGCGCCAGCCTGGCCCCAGCGGTGTGGGGCTGTGAAGCGTGTGGGGAGGGAGCAGCCCTTGAGGAGGGGCTGGATCTGGGTTTTACTGAGGCCAAGCCCAGAGCATCACCCAGAAGGTCCCAAGGCGATGGCTGCTTCCCTGTCCTGTTAACAAAGGCATGGAGCCACTTTGTGGCTCCCACAACCCAAACCTGCCCAGGTGAGCTGTTACCTCCTTGTGTGCCCCAGGACACCTCGTGGAGCGTTGCTGGTGTCAGCACATGAGCTCAGGCCCTGCTCTAAGTGCTCCTCGAACACCTCTGATGGTTCTTTTCCATCCAGCTCACCCCCTGATTGCTGAGTGCTGTCACCTGATGCTTTCCCATGGGATTCGATTTCCTCTTTGGAAGTGGAAGCCCCGTGTCCCTCTCTCCATCAGACCCCCCCTCCCCAGGCACACACGTGAATTTGGGGTGGGCAGTTGCATTTGCAGAGGTGACATCAGGGCTTTTCCTTTGCCATGGCAACTCATCGCAGTGCCCAGGAGGATGCTCGATGCAGGAGCTGAACGCGAGGGGGTTTTCAATGGGAACAGAGCAGGGAGCCAAAATAAGTCTGAGACATTAAGTAATGAGGGTAGAATGAAAAGGAACAGGGGGAGACCCCCACTGCAGCCCTGATCCAGCTCTGGGGCAGCAGCACAAGAGGGACGTGGAGCTGCTGGAGCGAGGCCAGAGGAGGCCATGGAGATGCTGCGAGGGCTGGAGCAGCTCTGCTCTGGAGCCAGGCTGAGAGAGCTGGGCTGGGGCAGCCTGGAGACGATGAGTGAAGGTTGGTCCAAGGCCTGTGAGCTGCTTTTGAGCATCCCTTGGTGATGCAACTTCACCTTCAGCACCCACTATCACCTCCCCTGAACCAGCTCTGTTTCTGTTCTCCCAAAGACTCCCATCTCCACGCTGGAACTGGCTCTGTTATAACTAAATGTGCTGCAGCTCCCAGCTTTGTTGGTGTGGATCCCAGGATTTCTCCTGACATATGTTATTTTCTTCCGAGGAGCCAGAAGCCACAGCAAACAAACACTTTAACTGGCACTGGGAACACGGGACATGGGTTTCTTAGTTCTTATTTGTCTAGAAAGAGCCATAAATCCTCAAGCTTCAGGGCTTAAGCCAGGCTCTGGAGCTGGGCTTAGGGACACAGCTCTTGTCTGGGTGACTTAGAGACAAGGGGAGGGAGAAAACGCTCTGGGGCCATCTGAATGCAGACAGAAAGGGAGATGTGGGGGTTAGAGGGTGGGTTGGGGGGCTTGGAGTGCTGCTGGTGGTGACCCGAGATGGGTCTGTGGTGGGACACTGGAACCAGCCAGATGTGCGGTGGATCCACGTCTCAGCATAGGGTGAGGCAAGGGGAAAGCCTTCTGTCCTCCTGCAGCTCATGGAGCTCTTCCCCATGGAGGTGATGGTGAGCTACCTGTCAGCAGCAGCGCCAATATCACTGAATTTAGGTACCAGCTTTACCCGCTCAGAGCCAGGCCCGGGTCCAGCTCTGCTCTGGGGCAGGGTGGTGCCATTCCTGCTGCCTCAGTTTCCCCTTTGCTCTACAGGTTGGGTTTTCCTGCACTGCAGTGTGATGTGCTCGGGGCAGGGGCTCTATCCCACATGAGCGCATCCCTCTGGTCCAGCATCGCTCCCCTTCCCTGCAGGATTGTCCCTCTGTGTGCCCACAGCCAGGCGGTGCTTGGTGGTGATGAGCTGAGATGGGGACAGGGACCACAGCATGGGGGGGGGGGGGGGGTGTGGCCTGAGGCTGGTGAAGGGTGATGCATCCTGATTTGGGGGGGCTAAAGGAGCATCCTCTGGGGCGGGGAAGTGGAACGGGGTCCTTCCCATCCCGGTTGTGGAACATCCCGGGAATGGGTCACATCCCCCTTTCTCTCCCAACCCTCCATGTGAGGAGCATCTCCTCCACCGCTGAGCAGCACCCCTCGCCCTGCAGCCCCAGGGGGGGGAGCAGAGAAGCCACTGGAGTCTTTAGGGGTGACTGGTGCGGTCCCTCCCGGCACCACTGCCCCATAGAGGACCCCGGGAGCGGGGGGTGATGCCACAGGTTGCTGAGGGCTCTGTTGTGCAGCGCTCCCCCCGCCAGCCCTGGCGCTTGCTCCCTCTCCCTCTCCCTCCCTTTCCCTCTCTGTGCTTATCTCCGTCTCTCCGTGTCTTTCCCAGACAAAAGCAGCCTGAAGCCGTGCCTGACGCCTTCGGGATTTCTCCTGCCCTTCCTGCCCCAAAACCTCTCTGAGGGCAGGCACAGGGGGTGGCTGGAGCGGGTGAAGTTGCTCCAACCCTCCCCATCCCCTTCCTCCTCCTCCTTCTCTTCCTCCTCCTCTCTCTTCTGCCAGGCAAGGTAAGACAAGCAGTGGCTGCTCTCCAGTTGCTTTCCGCACCTCTCTAGCAGGCTGGGCTGCGTGTGCTCCGCAGGGCTCTGTGTGTCTCCGGGTGTCTGTGTGTGTGTGTGTGTGTGTGAGCGGGCTCTTCCCTCCCCAGGCTGTGCACAATCTCAGCACAAAGCTGCTCTCTGAACAGATCTCCCTGTCATAATATTTCTGCAGGCACAAGCCCACACTGTGCAAGCTGCTGCTTCCCTGCCTTGCCTTTTCCCAGCTGGATGCTGAGCCTCCTCAGCATCCCTGTCCTCCCAGAGCTGTGCAGGCAGCAACAGTGACTGCCCTCTGTGGATGGGGAGGATGCTGCTGGGGGGGCCAGGCTGGTGCTCTCCTGGGTGGGATATCCCAGCTGTGGACACATGCTTTGGGGTAAGGGAGGACTGACCTTGGCAGGGCGAGGGGGGACTCTGAGCCGCCTGGTGAGGCTCAAAGCACCAAGGACCTCGCTTGTACTTGGTGCCTGGGGGGATGGAGAAGGGTTGTGCTGCCCCTGGGGACCCTGTGCGTGTCCTTGGCTCTGGATCCATCCATGGGGCTGGCTGCTGCAGGTCCAGCACACTGAAGGGCGTTTGGGCTACAACCTCTATGGCTCAGCCCAGAGCCCAGCAAGGCAGGGGTTAACCAAAGCCTGTGTCAGAAAAGCTGTCTGCCCATGGATGTAATTGATGGTTCCAGAAACAGGGCCTGGGACGTGAATCATGGCCCTTGAGACCCAGCTCTGGGGCCAGGGGATGACTGACAGACTGCACAACCTGCCTCTGCTCGGGGCTGTCAATCCCGGTTCAGCCGGGTGCTGCATCATCTGTGCCACTGCTGGGTGGCTGGTACCACGCTGTCACCCCCAGCGGGTCCGCAGCGATGCCGGGGTGAAGCACGGTGCCTGTTCTGCTGGTTTCATGCTTGGAGTTTGAAGTGAGGGAGAAGATCCTGGAGCTTCCCAGGAGAGGTT